CATACACCACTTGATCACATTGATAATCATCCGAATGCTTAGCAAGAACTATATTATATTCGCCCATGTCCGACATAACCACATGCAGGTCAGTGAATCCCAGAGCTCTCTTGAGACTGCAGAACTTGTAAACGTCCGAGACCACCGAATGACTGCGTCCCACTAGCTTCTTATCTAAAGCAGCGAGCTCCATAGAGAGCTTCCGGCGACAGGCTGTTGTCGGCTTCACTGGCAACACCGTCTCCTCCTTATCGTGGGGGGCAAGTGTGATGACGTTGGAAAAGTTTGAAGCACGTTCGGGGGTAGCTATAGATACACTCATAGAGTAGTTGGCTAAGATGATGATAAAATAAACTGAACAAGAATCAGCAGCAGCAAAACACCACATTTATCATTGACGACGACGCGGCAAACTCATTTACTTTAGCGCTCGCCCAAAAATAAATAACATTGTGAACTCCACACACAGTCAAGACACAAAAACGAAAGAGATATTCATTTGAAGCGTTCCCGAAGGCTCCGCTTATGGCCGGTCTTGGTCGTCCTCGTCTCCGTGGACCTTTCTTCAGCACGCATGAGAGCGTCCAGCACTGAAATCGTACCGCCCTTCCTCGTCCTAACCGCCACCCTAGAGGCTTCTGATGATGACGATGGGCAACTACTATTAAATCCAGACCGTGATAAACGACGTCGCTGGAAGTAGCTTGGTGTGGTAGATCTGTTGTCATACTCAAAAGAGAAGTTCCTCTTGACCGGGGTAGTCGAACTAGGATGTGTTCGTAAACCACCTCTGTTACGATGCATTCTCTGTGTACTCCTCTGCACAGCGACAGGATCACAACAATAGTCACAACAGTGCTCTCTCGATTCGCCCTTCTTAATCACAAGCTTTTCTCCAAAATGACCCAACAAGAATTCTCGTCTACAGGCCGCCTTAGTAGCATAAGTAGTAAACAAATCAAATGCCGCCAGTTCCCGTTGCTCCTGCGCGTCGATTTGTGGTCGACTATACCTACTCGCAAGCGATACCCCAAGTGATGGCTCACACGTCAACCTCACATATTCCATTCATAATCGGGCAACTTCTCCTTCTTCCTCTTACGAATGTCTTCGAATTTCTTCCCTATAAACCAACGTAGTAGCCCTGCATCTTTACTACTGTACAACAGTACCTAAGACACAGAGCTTGCACTAAAAACACATCAAGACTCCAGGACGAGTAACACTGCTTAAATAGAGATGAATGAATAATAAAATAATAAATCCATTCTAAACTGACGTCAGTAGGTAATACCAACCGTTCACCAACTTTAAAATCGGATTATCACAGAACATGATACACATGCAAAACAACAAATCGTCTTAATCTGTTTTATTCTGCGAGCCGGGGCAAGTACTGAGCTACCAACTTCGTATAAGATTTAGAAGGACGTAGTAGCCTCATTTCAACTAGATGTGAGAAAAGTGTGGTAATTGCAGTAACAGAGATAGTACACTGCCTGAAAGTATGGTTCAAAGAGACGATCGAACACCAGAAATTGACACTGTGCACTCCAAGTGGACGAGTAATGAGACGCACGTCACGAACGTAGTGGGAGTACATTGGAGAGATTCGTGCATGAATTACTATTATTGTCTATGACTCAGTACGAGATATAGATAGATGACCACAG